ATTACTAATACTATTTCGCAATATTGCGGTGGAAATATCTCCGAAAATATATAATGGTTTTTCGGTGTGAATAGCTTAATATTTGTCTATGGAAAATATTGAACTACATCGATAAGTATGTTGAAAAAAAATACATGGTTCCATTGAAAAAAGCATGGATGACTTTGAAATTTTCAACAAAAAAAAAAAAAAAAACCGTGCGAAATTTTTCTCTATCCTTTTGTTTGCCCTTTAGAATAGTGTAGTTTGCTCCAAGCAGTTTTCTCGCATAATCATAAACAACGTACAGCGATCCCATTTAAATTGGCTACTCTGTATATAAGATAGGATGTAAGTTTGCACGTCATCTTTTCTAGTATTTATACGTACTAATTAGCTATGCCGAAACACACCGAACGTTCTGCCATATAAAAATACCTTCTGATACGTTTACATATATATCGGTGCCGAAGTAATCGAGCACAAACATGACTAATAAAACCGTCTTATTGACAAACATGCGAGTAATTGTTATGTTCGCTGTATTCGCGAAATAGCTCGCAGAAAATGACGAATGGAATAAAACTATGAAAACAGTCGACATTAACTTTTAATTGCTTAAATATTGTGGTTCTAGGGTGTTCGGTGAAGTATAGCCGTGTCCGTGCGAGTTTTCGAAATAATGTTTCCTATTCCTCATATGTGAAGTTTTCCAATAAATCTGTGCAACTTCAGATTTTCTTTCCTTTTCATGAAAGACTAAGATCTAAGGTACACCAGCTATTTGAATATTTCGGTACATATGCAAGTAAGTACTTATACTTGAGAATGTACAGTATATTTCGAAATTTATAATTATTGTCAAACGTGTATAGAGCGTTAACGTTAAATTTCTTTAAAAATTCGAAGCATCGATACTGGTTCGTTCTTCTTGAATGATAAAACTCCATAAAAATGTGTATGTGTGTGTTAAAAATTTTCCGTTAAAATTCCTTTCCTAACAAAATTTATTCCCTTTCTAAAAAATTTTGTTCAAATGGATAGAAAATCTACGAAAACAGAATCAATGTATAATTTCGTGTAAAACTGATCGGGGAATGCTGAAAAAGGTAATATCACTGAGTAAGTATATATAGATCTCTTCACAGTCGACCAAGAGATGCAGTATTGTGACCGCTGCTACTTGGATTCCGTAAAAGATCACTAACAGCCGACATTGTAGAGTCGTGCGAGGACACTGCCTTGAAGTATGACAGTCTTCGACGCAGCGATAGACTTGTATCTTCTCAATGTTTGGCTTATGCTCATTGTCTTGGACGTCATGGAAATAATTCGTTTGTTTAATCGTTACAATGCTCAACTGAAGATTATTCATTTTGTACATCGATAAAGTACAACTTCCACATTTATATTAAACTACTGATAAGACAAACGGAAGAGATATCCTTTCTTATGGAAAGTAGAGAATTTTTTGTACCGCCATGGAAAAAGAACGAAAAACTGTGATCTTCTTTACCATACAACGCAATGATCTTCTTTACCATACCAACTAACAAAATTCGTTCTTTTCGAAACCTCTCCCACCCTTTCTCTCTCTCTCGTGTATGTATCAGAGGGAAGCAATATAAAATTAACTTAGATAATCCATCTGTATAATACGTAACTCTTCTTTTATGCTACATCGAAGTTGCGAGCCCTGTGTTGCAAACTGTTATCGAAACACCAGTAGTCTGAATTGACGTGACGTATAGAAGCAAGGCGTGGCTTGCATAAACATCGATTGTAAAATAACTCTTCAATTTGTCTTATATCAACGATTCATTATAAGCTGTTTCAGCTGTTTGACAACGTAACGATAGAAATATTAAATGTCACCGTTCTCAATTCTAGGTGCAAACTCATCTCTAGAACACTAGAATGAACTTTTTAGTTTCGCAAGATTAAAGTCGATGTAAGCGTCAATAATAACTGTTGTCAATTTTATAAATTAACATATATAAAAGATATGAAGAATTCGTTAGTTTCTAATAAATTATATAAATTAACAATGAAGGAAGAATGATAAATGCGTGTTTATGAAAAAATTTTTATACAACTGGGGAAGTTTAGGAATATGACATCGTACATTATGACTATAATATAATTATGTCATAACAGATTATACAAGATTATTTTTTCAGTACTGCTACAATAATGTTCACCTTCCAACTGTTAACCAAGCAATGTTTTTGTTTATGTTACGTGCTAGCCAATAACTAACAAATGAATATTTCATACAGCCTTTAACTGTAATATAAATTGAAAATATAATTTGCACAGAAGACTATTTCTCTAAAAAAATATCTTCACGACACGTTTGACGACTATCTTCGATATTATGTGCACCAAGAAATCTACTGTTAAAGACACGCGATAGGCGTAAATTCTATGCATCTGAAGGCAGAGCATTAAATATTTTAACAGAAATTACTCTCTCTCTCGTACGTTCTTTATTTTATATTACGATAACAACAGCGATAATAACAATAATAACAATAGAAAATTCTGATTTTATGTTTGATGAAACTAGAGCAGTGCCAATTGAAATTATATTGGTATTATATTGAAACAGTTAAGTAGGGATTGTATGTAATAAATTGTATGTAAAAACAGCTATAATATAGTACATTTGAAGGGAAAAACACCGTTTAGACAATACCTTGTAATCTCTTTCGAAATGTTTCTAAATTGTTAAAATAAGCAAAAAGTTACAAAACATTAATTGAATAAATGTAGAATGAAAGAAAACGAAGGAAAATTTTGAAATTAAGAATTTCGTATAAATGCAGAAATTTGAAATTCTCCTTTGAGTAAAATAAAATCTATGCTACATATTCAATAATAGCATATGAGCGACAAGAAAATGCTACATGATTGTGAACTCAATTATATTAAAAAAAGAAAAAAGAAACGAAACATGTTAACATATCAAATAAAATTACATAAAATGGAATACTTTATGTTATTGTTCTATATTTATGCTGTTCTACTATGCAGATATAAAATATATAACATCTATTAACCTCAATACATTTGTATCGTACGAACTGGAACAATTATATAAAAGAAGGGAACGAATTATCTATACTTTGTAAAAAAAAAAAAATTACAGTAAAAAAGTACTACATAATACAAGTCACGCCTCGATGTTATTAAAATTGTAGGAAATGAAATTTGCTTAAAATAAATTTCTTTAACAATACAGAGTTTAGGGATACAGCATTAATATATTACTTTTTTCACTATATCGTGTCTGGCAATTCCACAAAATACTAAACCGATAAATAAAAACAATACTGTATAGCGTAGGCCTTGTTTGTGATTCGCGCTCGGTGTTTTGCGATAATATGGCGCAGCCAATCGGATGAAAGAACAGACGGAAGGAAGGTATTTCACCAGGAATAGCCGATTAAAGCGTCCCTAGTATAATACATACAGACTATTCGAAACGACAGTGTTGTATCTTCCTCAAAGAAAACAAGGTACTCTAATCAATGAAAATATATGAACATCGTCATATAATAGTTAAAATATATTTTATTGCATATCATTTTTTTTTTAATGTTCTAGGTGTTTTCCGCAAAAATTAAAACGAAGATTATGCAATAATTATTCTAAAAACTGTACATTACTTACTGACGATAAAGAAGTAAATTATTTATACAATCCACATCAATTTCTCAAGATAACTCCATATAAAGTACGAAACATTTACATATAAAAAATGTATCTGTTTCACATATCCATTAAATATAAATTGTTGTACGTTTATTAATTGTATTGCATACGTGCACGCATAAATTTGACGCGTGCTCAATCATTTCTTTAATGTAATGATACATTTCATGTTTTTATAAGAAGCCTATGTAAGTAAAAATTAAAATTTTTCAAGGTGCATTATTTCAAATATTTATTAG